TTATATATATATATATATATATATATATATTATACACATAGACACTAACAAACAGGAAAATAAACAAAGAAAAGAAAGAGAAAGAACGAAGAAAAAAGTGCAGCAAAAACAAACCAAGAAAAAAGAAGAAAACGAGTAACAAAGAAGCCAAGCACAACATAGCACAGATTAGGGTTTAGGGTTTAGGGTTTAATGTAATAACAAACAAAAGACAAAATACAAAGAGATAAACGATGAATATTTGTATATACACAAAAAGGCTGCATAGATAAAAGCAAAAAAGAAGACAAGAGAGAAATTATAATAAGAATACTAATAGAAATAACATGCATGCATTTATTTTAATTTAATTCGCATTAAAAGAAAAGACTAACGCTCAGCATGCGGTAAGCAATCCTTTCAGGGTATTGACGATTTGTTACAACAGCCCCGAATATAAATGCTGCACTTTTATCTACTTGCAAATAAACAACTTCTTGTCTTTCTTCTTTGCTGCTACGTGTTCTTGCTGCTGCTCTCGTTGCTGTGCTGCCGCTGAGCTTTTGTATTGCTTCTTTCAATAAACCCACACATATCTTCTGCTCTTTAGATTGTATCCGAGCTGCATATACACCTAAAATTACTTTATCAGATATACGAGCAGCCCCCAACACCGCCACTTGGCTCGTTAAGTTCTTCATTTTGTCTGTTGCATGCACCAACACGAATATCAGCAAAAGACAGAGGAAAAGGAGGATTAAATGCAAGAGAAAAGAAGAAGTAGCCGGTGCTCTTCTTGCTGCTGCTGCGGCTGCTGCTTCTTCTTCTTTGCTGCTAAGATCAAATTAAAGATGAATATTGCAGTATTGCAATCATCGCGAAATTTTCTGTTCACACGGTGAGGAGGCGAAGAGGAAGACAGTGGAAAGTGCAGCTTTATGTTGGTTATTTTGGGATCTTTTAAGGTGAAATCAAATACATCAAATGATATTAAAACAGAAAAAACCAGAAAAGACAATGAAGTATACAATTTGCAGAACAGAATACAAAGCCGCAAACGAGGCGCGCGAGAACAAGACGGCGTTGATCCGAAACCCTGAGAGACTTCTTACGACACTTTGACCTGAGATATCGATAAAATAGCATACGTTTGAAATAAAATGAAGAAAAGATGTACAATTTGAAAGCAGAAACTCTAAAAACTTGAAGAAGATATTGAAACAGACGCCGCGAGTTGCGGGAGAGGAACACGGGCGAATTCAGAAGAAGACCGTGCGAATTTAACGCGATCTTCGTATTGACAAGGAAGATTTCGTTGAATAACGTAAAAATAATCAAAAAACAGCAAAAAACAAACTTTTAATGGCTTTGCTGCATGCTGATGATGTCGCCTATGCGCAGTTGAATCGAATGGAAGCCTTACTGCAGAAACAGCGGGGAAACTGTGGGTCTATTTGCAACACATTTATCATTTTTTTAGCGTTAGTTCTTTAAATATATTATTTTAAAACAATAATCTATTGAAATTGCAAAAAGAAAAAATATTTCGTTCATGAATTACGCCGCTTTCCCAAAGCGGCGCGCACAGATGCAAATTGAATATAGAAAATTATATTATATCAGTGGCTTTTGGTTTCTTCTCGAAAATATATTGATTTAATTCATTTATATTATTTCTTTCTCCTTTTTATTGATATTCATTGATGTGCAACGGTGATAATAATAGTTATTTTAATTACAAACATTGACGCTCTGTGAGATCTCTCTTCCGTCGTCTCGGAGAAGAAAAAATAAACAAAAACATCAAATTTCCTTTGGCTTTGCAACAACATAATATATAAGAGATATAAATATATGTAAGCATAGAAAAATACATATTGTTATAGAACAAAAATACCTATGAACACAAACATGCACACCGGTACATATTCATTGCAATACGTATATGCAATGCCTTACAAATATATGCTATAAATGTTAAATCATGTATATATATACTATATATATTATACAATATAATATAAGACCTGCTGTACACTATATAGATAATTAAGATGTATGCCCGCTATATTTAATAAATTTACTCTTAGGATTTGAATTTGCTACGATCCCTTAGGGGGGTCTAAATGCAAAGAGAAAAGACAAAGCGGAGAAAATTTAAAAGCGATGAAGCGAAGGCCTCTGCTTCCCTAGCCACCTTCTACTGCATGCACATATGCTACATATATATATACATGAAAATACATGTATATATACATACCTACATATACATATATATAAATATATATCTAGAGATGCAGATCAATATGAATATATATAAATATAAATATATATATATATATATAAAAGCAAACAAATTTCTATGTTTTAATATATCTTCAACTGCATACTTAGGGAGGCCCAGCCAGCATTTATATGCATGCATGCATGCATGCATGCATGCATGTATATAAACGAATGAGTCAATAGAGGAAAAAGTTTCAGTATTTGTATGGTTTAGAAATAAAAGAAGGTTGAATATATAATAATTGTTTATTAAGGACTGATATTATGAAGAGTAGGATCAAAAGAAGATTTATATATTTCTGCTGCTCCTGCAAACAACCAAG